GTCTGAGATTTTTATTTAGCCATATTTAATACTGAGCATTTATGTAACCATTATCTATGGTATAAAATATCTGAGAAAAATATCTAGATTATGTTAATGGCTAGTTTATTTCTTAAATAAAATGAAACAAGATTATGGTATACTAATTGGAAAAACGAATTTGGTTTTTAAAATCATAATTTAATAGCCAAGTTATAGTCACATGTCAAAAGTCAGTGTAAACACTGGATATGTCATTAAGTTTAAGAAGGATCTGTAAAAAATGAAAAAGATAATATACTAACTACTACTTTGTTGATATGAATTTGGATTTCTTATGGTGATTGATCATTTTTCTGCCATAAGTAGGCAGCAGTTGTAATGCTAGACCTCAGTCTCAGGTTTCATTATGTCTGCTGGGGAAGCACAGACTTTCATTCATGGGGAGTTGGCCAATCTTTTATCGTGTCCCCACAAGGTTCTCCGCAGAGTGGTCTCTTCATCCTCACATTTTTCTTTAGGTATGTTCTCAACTGGGAACACTGCATATTTGTGTGCGTTTCCCATTCACTGGTATGCAACACTTTCTTCCTTTTAGTCTTCAGTTCCTCACCCTTCAGCTGTGGAGGTAGATGTTTTCAGTCAAGATTGGAGGGGTCTTCACCTATATGCCTACCCTCCAATATGATTCATTTTCTGAGTCTTTTCCCTTACCAGACCAATCCTTTTTGTGTTCTGCCAGTTCTTCTGTATTGGCTGCTCAGTTGTGGTTCCCTCTGCTGTGGCCCTTACTGGAGCAATACATCTTATTCTTTTCTCTGTCCTGTCCACTCCTCAGTCATCCACGATCTGAAGTTTTTTCATCCAGACATCTCCACACTCCTTCTTTCAGTGTGACTTCTGTTCAGTCACGTGCATCGGCTCAGGGGCTCGCCCCTATATGGTTACCTTCCATTCAGACTCCTCCTCTTCTGGGTCTTTTCCCTTATCTAGACCACCTCCTTGTTTTCTGTTGGTTGCTTCCGATTGGTCGGGTCTGACATAGTTCCCTCTGCTCTGGCCCTTAATGGAGCAACAAACTATGCCCCTTTCTCTGTCCTATTTGCTCCTCTGTCCACCATGAGTGGTCGTTTTTCATCCTGATGTCACTATAATCTATTTTTGTGTGTGTCTTTTGTCTGGTCCCTCATGTTGCATCTTTCATTGCTTACTCCTTTTGCCCTTCCTTTTTGTCTGTGTACCAGAGGCATAAGTTTTGCTTCAGTCTTTGGTATTTGTCCCAGGGCTTTCATTCTGCCTGTACTTCTGTTCCTCACCTGTCCCAGCTCTTCATCTGGCTGTTTGTTCAGGGATTGTCTGTTTCAACTGTTGCTCTTTATAGAGCTTTACTGTCAAACTCCCTCCTTTCTCCCTCTTCCAGAAAGTTTCTCTTCCTTGGGTTGTTCCATTTCTTTTAATGGTCCAACCGACAAATTTCCTTTGTTCTGCTGGATTTGGATCTCCATGTTGTTCTTCCTATCCTGTCTGGTTCTCCCTCTGAACCCATTACAATTTGTTTCTTGTAAGATATTTCTCTTACGACCTCAATCCTCCACCCCCTGGCATGCAGTCTTTGTCATTCTGATTTTTATGTCATCCTTTACCATTTCTCATAAGTTTTTCGTTATCCTGATCCGGCATTCCTTCCATGGACTTCAGCTGCCCAGGTAGGTTGTTTTACCTTTTCTTTTCTTCCTTTCCTTTTCTGTCCTATATTTCCATACATTTCTGGATCATCTCCTTTGTCCACTTCATTCCCTGCTCTGTTGTTTGGCTCATATTCTCTCCTTCAGTTGTTCTCATTCCTGTCTCATTGTTCCATGGCATTCTTCTTTTCCCTGATCTTTCTACTATTATGTTAACAGGTTGGGCTCATCAACTTCTACACCTGGCATATATGGATGTGTCCCTGGCCAGTTGCTATCTACATATTGTTTTTTCACACCTAATTCATTATCTAACTCTGCCTTTAGCTGTTCGACACTGCTGTTATTTGAAAGGAATCATTTAGGCCAGTATGTGGAAAACTCTCTGTACTTTTGTCACTCTGCACAACTTTGCTGTGTCTTCCCCAGGCAGATATCATCTTCTTCCTGTAGCTATTTTATACACATCTATTCACTTGTCATCATTTGTTTTTTCTCTTTTGTCATTGCCTCTACATCATATTTCAGGATCCCACCTAGTGGTGGGTGTTGCCTTGTCAGGTATGCTGAATTTTATATCATAGCACTATATCTGTATACTTCTCCAACACTCACTGTGGAGATGGAGTGTTTCTGTAAGACTGCTGCACACTTTTTAGGTGGTGTATCTATATCTATGTATCACGTTTTAATTACTCTCTCTCTCTCTCTATATATATATATATATATATATTATATATATATATATATATCATAAGGAATGTCACTAATGGACTATATGAGTAAAACAGATAGGAATTTTTGCATATCTTGATTGACCCGTGATTCTTACAATCCGGGTTTTCTTTTTTTCAGAAAAGGGAATGCAGACACTCATTGCACTGTCTCTGGTGGGTCATTCCTCTGGACCCACCAATCTGTCTTCCCCTCTCTTTTTTTCTAGTGCAACATGGGGGTCCTTGTCACTTCTGGTTCCAAGTCACTGGAATGGTGGACTGTGGAGGTTTCTTCACAAGTGGGTTTTGTACAATAACACTATCTCATAGCCATATCTACTCACTCGATGAGAAGAGGCTATCATCATTATGCTGCATATTATGCACACAATATGGAATGAAATCTATTATGCAAAGTGCTTCCACTGGATGTTTTTTGCCCAGATGGACCACACTTGACATAATTCAATGTATACCAAGGGGCTTCCCCCAGATGTTTTTTCCTGGGTGGACCTCACTTGGCTATCTTGATATCAATCCAAGGGGCTTACCCTGGGTGTTTTTGCATGGGCATTCTGCACTTGTTGATTTTACAAACTTATGCAAGGTGCTTTCATGTCGTTGTTTTCCTTGGACTGCACTTACCATAATAAGTCATATCCCAAGGTGCTACCCCTGGATGTTTTCTGCTCGGGTAGACCACACTTGGCCTATTCATATACGGTTTCTAATCCTAACCACATATTCTATTCGTTTCTGCCCTATTTGTCCTATCTTCTTTACTGGGTGAAGAACATACCTGTTCCAGAAGTAGTACTATATCCCACAGGTGTGTCACATATTTTAATTTTTATAGTGGCCACTCTCTGCTTGATTATTTATTTTTGGTCCTTCACTAGCCCTTCACCTTTTCAATGTGGTATTTTACTATTGGGGAGTAGAGGTAGTACCATTTCGGAAGTCACTATTTTCTAACAATGAAAATGTATTTCCGATAAGTACTTACCTCCACTTCCCACGTTTCTTTTGCACTGATTTGTTGATGTTTTCAGGTTTGTATATGTCAATTCTCGAAAGTGAGGATTGTGCTGCAAGGGTAGAGGGAGCTACCTACACTAGTAGAGAGAGTACAATGGGATTGGTGGAGGGTGGTCACATGATTAGCACATGTTGCTGCAATGATGTAAAAAATATAGGGTATAAAAGTTTGGTTTGCTTTTAAAAAGTTTACCAATGCTTAGAGGGCAAATGAAGGTCAAGATAGCTATGGGTGATTGAGGTGGGTACCCATTGAAAATAAATTTTCAGTGTTAGAAAATGGTAACTTGCAGGAGAAGCTATTGTGAAAACATACTAAATTAAATCAGAGTTAGTTTTAATACAAATTACAGTTTGTACATGTTTTCAGTAGCAGGTCTGGAATATTTTGGAAAACAAATATGTATTCATTTCAAAAGACTTCATAATTTATTAAAATACAAAGTTGTTTCCATATATTTAATTTTTTCTTGAAATTAGCAAAATTATGGAAAATATTGTTGGGGGAAGAAATTGTTACTTGAACAATTTGTATATTGTTGAAACCTGTAACGAGTCTGAGATGTTAAAAATGTCCTGAGGTTGTGTTTTTGGTAGACAGTGGGACTAGTGTATTAGGTGCTTCAAGTGAAGTCACCATTCTGTTAAATTGGTACTGGCTTTGTTATGGCTAATGGATATAAGCTAAGAAGCATGATTCCACTATGCTATTGGTATAGCCTCTTGTAAAAAGAAAATTGTTTTTTTCTGAGCATGGATCAAAGATTGATACTTTAGAGATAGGCCTGCTGTAGAAATTATCAGGAAGTGTTGCTTCTGATACAAGTGAGCTGTAGTTTTGCAGTAAAATCATCCACTTCATAAGAGTCAACCAGACAAAATCCAGAAACAGTGAACTGTATGAGTATATAATTCATATATAGTCAGAGTTTGAAAAAACAGTATCTCTGTTTTCTAATTGGAAACCAAGTTACTCTTGATTGGATAGTTGTTTGTCTAACTGCAGGTGTCATTTGTCTTTCTTGTGGACCCAGAAGATTGATGTCAACAGCATTGTTGAACCAGGACAGTTAGTAAAAACTTAAAGTAATTATGATTTGTTAGTAGATAAAGTAAAATATAATTGAAATATTTTAGTGATTAAATAATAATAAGAATTGCGTTTCATGTATTATTATTATTATTATTTAGATAAAATGTATGTATGTGTAAGAGTGACAGATAAATAGAAAACATAACCAAGTAACTAACAGAAAGAAAGTACGTTAATACCATGGACTAGTGGTTAGTTATATGTACAGAGCTCAAACCTTTCATAAATTTTACTGATGTAAACTGTAATGTTTTTATATATTAAAAGTGTTATTCTTTGTTGAACAAACAATAGTTTTAAGAACTTTCATTTTTTGTTTTACATTAAAAAATTACATCAATAAAGATATGCACCACAATGGCACAGTGGTATGTGTGCGGACTTGCAACGCTAGAAACCGTGGTGGGCAGAGCATAGATAGCCCATTATGTAGCTTTGTGCTTAACTTCAAAAGAAAACAAACAATAAAGATATAATCAAACCCTCCCGTTCAGTACTAGTGAAAGTTATGCTCTTGTTGTGAGGAGAGTACTTATATTTAAAAATAAATATGTTTTCTAAATGGTTGAATATTGAATACCCAAAGTATGAAATTTGTGTTTATTGTGCCATTCAATAGATGACGCCACAGTTCATAAATTCATTTATTATTTCTGTCACAGATATATATGGACGGACAAGCCATTGCTCCATTCTAGTAATATTATAGTAAGATCCCTACATAATCTTAAGGAATTTTTTCACAACATAACCCACTTCTCTCACCAGTGATAAGTAATTGTTTACAGACAGTTTGATTTTCACACGGCTTTGTAGTATGACCACCTAACTTCTGGTTTCATTATAAAATTAGCAACAGTTCGTAGTTTATGTGTATTGTTGACATATTCTAGACACTTATGTTCACGTTTGTAGTTAAAATACTGCAAATAATCTTCACACATGGAAATACATTTTAAGTCAAGCTAATCATTCTTAGTTTAACCTAAATTGTTATTTATCACATTGAACAATATACACATGTTTGAGGGACATGATCCTCGGTTTCAGATCCAGACAGATCTAGTATCTTTAGTCTTCTAGTTAATATTTATATTGTATTGTTAGACACGTTGAGAAATAACTTTCTCGTCGACTTTCTAAGGTTGGTCTCTTCCTTATCAATAATAAAAGATGATGGAGAAGGAAGAGTTTGATATAAGCTAAGTTTGACTACATCTTTCTGTTGTACATAATGTATTCTAACCAACCTCTGACCTTAGAACTCTGTAAGGTTTAACCAAATCTTCAAACAGTGTACGTTAATGATATTAATGTTTTAAGTTCTTATGGCTGTGTAGTTTCTTATTTAAAAATCTCAAATACAAAAAATTTTCATTTTTGAATTATTACTTTTATCTTTCACAATAGAAGATTTATTTATTATTAAGATAAAATAATTGTATATAGTTTATTAGGCCTGTAATTATTGATACCATATTATTAATCTTGTAACTGTTAGTAACACAAGAATTAAAGTAGTCTCCAAAACATTTGTTGTTCCTAACGTATTATAATGGTCTTAGTACACAGGTCGTATCTTCATATACACATCTGGAAGTGAGTATTTCTGTCCTTTCTATTTACTTCATTCCACACCATCAGCAATACTCTCGTGTTCACCGTTCAGGTAGAGTCCATTAAGGTTGGAACTGTGACACTTGCTATACCACCAAGCTCCCTTAAATCTTTGGGCACAGCTTGTTTCATAAATGTCATTATATTTGTACTTTGTAGAAAAACTATACCCATTGTGTCCACTGAACCCGTCTCCTGTGGTATTAGTCAGGAACAGGACATCAAGAAATCAACTTTTATAAATCTTTTATTACACAAATGTGTAATAAGTCAAAAATTTGCTTAATATTATATAATAACGATTTGTTCAAGATACAGAACTAAAGATATGGATAACAAACACTTGTAGGTCACATCAGGTTTAGGACATTACAGAGTCTGAAAAAAAACAAAAAAAACGTGTAAGACAAGAGATATGATATATTGTTAACCAAAACTCCATACAAAATACACCTTGCAATTCCATTAAAACATTGACAAAGAATCTTTTAGATTAACCATAAAATCACGGTAATAATGATATTCGTCTGCAAGAAAGGTAAGGTAGGTTTATAACGTCTAATGACACTAAATAGACACTGATTATGACAGATAAATAAAATAGTTGAGAGCATTCTTCAGATAATAGCTGAAGCTGAGGGTACAAAACAGATTAGAACAGAAATACATAGGGTACAAAACAGATTAGAACAAAAGTACACAGGGTACATAACAGTCCTAAGACATTAGCATAGAGTGAGTTTTCGTATTCAGTTTACAAAGAACAGATTTAAACGGCAACAATATAATGGAATTTACGATAAAACGTGTGCCATTTTCAGACAAAGTGATTATCCTTGAGGGCCAATTTAAGAAGCTGTTCGAATTTTTGTTGGTTAGGGCATTTTTAGTAGGGAATAACTGTTTACTAGTTTTAATTGTGTCCTCAAGTGGGATGTTAGTGAATAAGGACTGAATTAGTTATGGCCAGCTTTGGTATTCAGTCTTTATTCACAAAGTATTGGTTATCCCCTTAATTTCTTACACTCTATCACACGAAAATTTTTAAGAAATAAAATAGAACCTGCCAAAAAGCTACACACCATCTCAAAATATCCACTAGTTTTTATCATTCTTTTCATTGGCAAACAAAGTTTTAAACTCAAATATTAAATTCAAAAAATAATCAAAACATATTACCCACAAATTCAACTACGTTTAATATTTACGTCAACATTTAGAATAAAAAATATATTTAAAACCAAAGACTCTACCCATTCCTATGCGCTCGTGGGACGTATATGAATACACTTGTGTTAGCTGTAAAGCTACATGTATTGGTAAAACTACACTTTACCAATAAATTATTAGATATTTATTTTAATATCGATGTCTGCTTGAATTAAATTTATATTTACAAATGTATATAACTGATACTGATGAATATGTATTGTGAAACTTCCGCTTATTGTCTAAAGTTGAAGAAGATTCTCGAGTGTAAGAATCAACAATATACTTGTGTACGTAAACTCTAGTGTAGCGTGTTAGTATTGTTACGTAATCTGAATTTTCGAGAAACTCTCTACACGCCTATCAATATAACCAACGCGACATGCCAAAAAAAGTATCTATTATTAATATGGTATAGTAAATGTGCTATAAACTTCGGAAGCTATAACTGTGATTGTTGTAACGCTTATTAATCGGGAACTTGAGATATTTGACCAAGAACATTTATAAATTTCAAACATTACAAATCATTTAACTTCAGTGGATTTACATCGGACATTAGTATTTTTTCGAAAACATTACCTAATGTAAACGGTGGAAACACGACCTGTAATCTTCGTGTGACCAGCGAGACTACAGGGCTAGCTAGCTCCCTGTTAAGTGAATTATACCTACGTCATCTCGAAATTAACTCGCTCATCATGGTGCCCGGCATGGCCAGGTGGATAAGGCGCTCGACTCACAAT